AGCTTTTAAAATTTCAGCACTGCAGGCTACTCATAAAACATACGATAGCATGCAATTAGTAAACGTCGGATGAAATTGTACCAAGCTATTAGTTTAAACCATTAATAAATATTTACTGCATGTAATGTGTGAAAACGATTAAAACTAAGAAAATCGCATAATTTTGGCACATTCTAATAGAATGTGTGAGACGTAAAATGATATATCTGAAAAGGAATTAAGATCTTTTGCCGGACAAAAATGAACAGTTGTTTATTTATATAACCTTGCCCGGTTTAAGATTCACGACATGTAATGTGTAAGTCATATCAGGTTGTAATCGTGGACCGGCTTAAAATTTCAGGCCTAAAAATTTGACGACAATCGCTTCAGTGAAGTCTCGTGACAGTTTGTTTCGGAAATGCCATAAAAATTCAACAGTGCTTTTAAATTATTGCAATAACATGTGTCCCATACATTGTGTTTGTATCCATTTAAATTATACTATAGGGCAGTAGGCCTGTATAAACAAAGTCCCGCGTCCATACGATGCCAGAAGAATTTGAAAACGCAAGAATATTTTTTCGATCACCTGTACCGTCAACACGTATCCGGCGTTATCGACCACTGAAAAGGGAAGAATCTAAAAACGCTCTCAAGAGTAAAGGAAGTTAAAAGCGACGGCTGAGCGGATACGTGTGGACGGCTTTGCCGGATAAATAGGGACTTTACGATTCACGACGCGGCCATGCAGCTTGACGACGTGCTTGGAAAAGACACATCACACGCGAGACAATAGGTATGCATAAATTGTGGTCCCACGACAGCGTTGTCATTCTCACGACGCGCCTTAAAATCAGGCATTTTCACAGCCTTTCCAGGACATGAAAGCAACGGTTTCATAGCTTGTAGGAAGCTGCGATAACAGCTAGACATCGGAGGTTCTTAGCACAATTGAGACGTTTGTATGAATATTTAAAAGTCCTGGCAGCATAATAATTTGTCGTAGCTTATTTCTAGCAAAATAATTGACAAGCGTCGTCGAGCTAACTGCGTCGTAGATCGTAAACTCCCAAATTTGAAAACGATGACTTCACGTATCAAAAAGCTTCCATATTAACCAAGCTTGTTTTAAGTCTTAGTGGCTTTTTCTCAAGTTTGCATTCCTACATTAGTGTCAAATGAGTCTTCTTTAGCTTATTTTCATCTTGAGTGAAATCTTCGGCAATCCTTTTAGAATTTGCGGAGAATTATGCCCAAATTGTCGGAGTATGGTTACACACATTTTTTATACACGACATGAATTTAATTAATAGATACTCGACAACAATAATATTTAGGAGCGAATTGAAGTTAATGAATTCACGGCAACCAGGTATATAATCCATCGTAATTATCGCGACTCTGGTTTTATTAAATGAAAGTGATTAATCAGATCACCCCTGATGAAGACACTAGACCGGAGTGTTGAAAGTTGGGTCGTGAAAGTTAATCTTTGTGTGGTGATCACTATCATTTAAAAAAAACAGGGTCGCAATAATTACGAATGAATATTTAGGAGCTCAAGCTTGTTGTGTGTCGAAACTAAGTTCTCATTCTTGTTTTTTGCTTCGGTTTTGGTAGATGTTTGTTTTTAATTTAACATCCCACATGTGACACGCAGGCGGAAAACATGAAGGTGTCTTCCGAGATCAAATAACCTATTTTAACGAAGAAATATTTTTGCGTTTTCAAATTCTACTGGATCGTGCAGACGTAGCCAAAGGCGCTGCCTAATATAAAATGTGCTTATATAGTTTGACTAATGGTCGTGTTTCTTGGTTGAGAAGGCGGCGTCGTGGGTGAAGTGACAAATAAAACGCTTTCGTCTTTTTATTTTTGATATAAGGAACACTATCCTGCTAAATTTTTAGCTTTAAGTCTTCTATTTAAGTCACGTTTGATAAGTTCGCCGGAATCTTGCATTGCGAGAACGAAATACATTATTTTCAATAACCGATAGTGTGCGCCATAGAAAGTATCAATCTTCTTCTGCGCATACATTCTACACTTCTTTTGCACGCAATTACTACAATGGTCCTCCTAATAGGATATTATTAGGACATTATTAGGACATTATAATCAGTATTATATAATTAGGACAGGGCATTATTAGGACATATTATTAGCATTTTATTAGCATAATATACATTATACTCTAAATGCATCAATATATTCCTTAGTGAGAAAAACATGCGTGTGAAACATGTGCATGTTTATACCTAATACAACTCTAAAACCAGACCACGATTGAACCTTACGATATATAGACTTCAGCTAAGACTACTTTCCCTCACCCGAAAGACGCTTTCAACATAAAAAATATCATTTCGCGAGAAAAATATCGTGCGTGATCATGAAAAACCAGTTTTGGAACTCTTTTGAAAACATATTCCTGACTAACATCATATATTCTACTAACGGTTATCATCATCTATGAATTTTCAACAGTTAATTTTAATAATTTATCGCGTTTTAACCATCTAAGAAGACAAAAGATAGATATATGCTCATGCGCGAAGTGAGTATGATTAGCGAGTGATAAGTATACCGTCTCTCTTAAAATGGGAGAATTTATTGAAATCTATAATTGCACTGATGAAGGCCCGGGTTAAGGGACCGAAAGCTTTGCAGCATTAAACATTTACGTGGTGTATACCTACAAGCCAATTTAGAGTATAATTAAATGTCACCATACCAAATTACAAGAATATTCACTGCTGTTATTATAAAGAGTATATGTGTACACATGTCGTGTTAAATATTTGGGCCCACAGTAATAAGCTTTCAGGATACATTATTGAGATTATTATTCATAACATTTCGGCCAATCACCCGGTCATTCTCGTCCCCATGCAGGGCCGGGCTCCATGTGCGGAGAGCAACGGGACCAGGATGGACAGATTTTGGCAGTTTTATGCTAGTTTCGGTGATTCGGTCGGATGTACATAAATCAGACCCACTTGATTTTAATAATTACAAAATTTATTCCAGGAGGGGGCAACCTAACATGATATGAGCAGTTTGCTTATAAAATATTCATAATTATATGGTCACACTGCTGGGACGAGGTGTCTCCTGGTCTAACTTAATTTCGTCAAGGTCAGCAGTCAATTACTTCAAGAATTTCAAGCAAACAACCGAAAAATAGTGGGTTGAATAAATGATTATACAAATATAGTTAATTGCTTTGTTTGGAATTATTTCTAAACGCATGCAGTAAGCTGTATTTTAAAAATAACTTCAAGCTACAAAAACATTCAATCACACTTCAATGACTTCAAGCAAGAAAATATGATCACAGTATAAGTGAATAACTTTAAATTTATGTTCCTACCGTCATTGAACACAAGTCTGTGTCCAAATTTACAAATTCTCCAGATTTAACGCCAAAGGATTGTTCGCACACACGACTGCTTTATTTTCTCGCCCACTTTGCCAGTCTTCAAATATGCGAACTCCCCAACGATTTTAAAGCGCGTTGTTTGTGGTATGGAATTTATCACGTTCTATATCGTAATTTTCCGGCACGCTTTGAGGATCTCGAAATCTTCTCTTTCTGCTGCTAAAAGCCACCCTTTGCTCACACGGAGGCGAAGGAATAGCGAGCTTTAGCAGTGACTACGAGTACGACTACGAGTACGAGATTCGTCATTATCGCGCGTTGTTTGCTTACGCCATCAGTCAAAACTCGTAGTCGTTGGGCTTTCGAGTACGAAGTTTATCAAAAAACTCGTACTCAAAAGCCCGGCGACTACGAGTTTTGACTGATGGCGTAAGCAAACAACGCACGAGAATGACGAATCTCGTACTCGTAGTCGTACTCGTAGTCACTGCTAAAGCTCCCTAATACTAAATCTAGTCCGAACAACAACGGCTCTATTTCCTTCCTTTGTCATTCACGCATTCGCTTGATTGAAAACCCTAAATCCCTACTCATTGCCTCAATAGTATGAATATCCTCTAATGATGTGTGATAAGCTATTTCAAATCCTCGTTAGTGTTTTAGACTCGGCTTCGAAATTCCAAAGTGGCACGAGCAATGGTTGACCGCGCCTATTCAATGTTAATGGCACTTGGATTTAGAAATGATTTAATTTGCGGGCGTAAAGCTTTTGTTGGAATTTGAATGCATGATCAACGCAGTAGTTTGTAGATAGCATAGTTATTAGGTCGAGACATTCAAATGAAGCGTCTTGCTTTCAATTGGGGCTAGCATGCATATATAATATCAAGGCAATCAGATTATAACAAAGGCTTGATTTCAATAGAGGGGACTTCTTTTAAGACACCCTATAGAAACTCACCCTGTAAAAGCTCACCCTTTAAAAGTCGAGTGCTACAAATCTTAATTTATTTACCCTCATGCATCAACTTTACTCAAAGATATTTGATTAAAAATTTAAAAGAAATATTGGAGTATTGCGCATTCGTGTTTAGTGTGATTTTCATTCCAAAAATTTGGCACATATAGTGGAAAATAAAAACGGGACACGGCGTATTAAACTCAAATTCTGATTAATTAATAATAAGATACACCAAATCTACAACACCGACGTGAAGTAATACCGTCTTCAATTCCACAGTTGCACAACACGAAAAAAAAATTATAGAATTCTTTGGTAAAGAAGGTCAGTAAAATTTAGATGGTATGTAAAACTAATTCACACTGGGTTCCTAACACTAAAGGCTGACTTCATGTCACGTCCGCGTCGTAGGTCGGAAAGAAGTATGATATTGTTTAGCGTACGGAATGTTTAGATACTTTTTAGCTTATTCTCGCACGTATTCCCGTAATTCAGTCTTTGTAAGTATAACTGCAAGGTTTGTGAAATATTAAACTATCTGTATCAATCTAATGGCATGAATAATGACCGAAGTTTCGGGTAATGGTGCGATTAAATTAAACATTATATGGAAATGACAGATCGAGATGACAGATCGATTTTCAGAATGTCATAAATTTTTGAATTATTTTTCAGATCTTTTATCACTCACTTGTAAGGTCGGAAACAGTTTAGTTAGCCGCGTCTATTTCAGAAGCGTTTTGTAGGAATTAACGTCGTTGAATGTGATATGAGGTAAGTTTACATTCTACTTTGATTTTCACGGAAAAAACTACGACGTCGACGGCCAAGACGGCAAATTGAGTGCATGTGTAACGAATGTTTGTGATATTTATATGACGCAGTCGAAATGGACTTGTAATAATTGTTTTAGAGCGTTTTTGTTGTTCATCGTCGAAAATCTCAGTTGCAATCCCATTACTAACAAAACGTTTCAGAAAAATAAATTGTGCGTTGTATAGCATAGTTTTGCTGATTTAACGACATCCGTTTCAGCCATAAATATAACACAGAACTTGCTTCAGAATTAATTCAACACATATTAATAACATAAATATTTGGTATTTGAGTGTGTTTATCACAATCGTCTATATCAATATGTGCCCAGATGAGAAATCATAACGCATATTGTGTTGTGTTGTGCATTAAAAGATTTAAAACCACGCAACCGCCATTATAACTATAAATTCATTCATTTCATTGTGAAAAGCTAATGTTATAAGTATTTTTAAGTCTTGTATGCACGTCTAGCATGTCCTGACCCGAGTGTCCTCGGCTCTAAGGTTTGACTATCTATATACTGTAATATATACTGTAAACAGTGGAATGCCATTTAGTGTATGGTAAAGATAAGACATAACACTACTTGGAAGTGGAGTAATGTTTGTACTGATTTTCAAATCAAAACTGGTAAACCAATATAGCTAAGTATTCAGTATTTTTTCTTGTTTTTTACCGTACGAAAACAACTTTCTCGTATAGCGCAATAAACATGCTCCGTTTTAAACTGCTGGTAATTAATCTCCTCATTGTCCTGATCTCATGGATCTCATTTGTCTCTCCTGAAAAAAAGGTCAGATAATCTCGAGGTTAATTATTTTATTATTTGTTATTTGTTATCTCATCATTGTTCTTTTCAATTTAATTCACTAAACAAAGTTGTTTCTCTCGAATCGTCCAAGCGGAATCAAAATCAAATTTGTTGATGTATCTTGACAGATTGTGGACATTCAAACAGGTTATGATCCTGGCTCGTGTAGCAAGAAGAAACGTGGTTTGTTAAAATTGATAAAGGATCGTTCTAACAATGATAAACTGTTAATTTGCGCTGAACAAAATGGAGTTAATGCCTGGAAAACAACGGACGGTAAAGTTCCGAGTGTAACGTGTTCTGAAAGTTCCAGAACTCTCTGTCAATTCACGACCATTTGGGTAGTTTTTCGAACCGCAATCATCAATCATTTCCATTCTAGGTTCCAGTCCCTCTGGCGAATATTTCAATCCCGGCTACGACTGCACGGATATTCTGAATAAGAATTTTGAGTCTCGAGATGGATTTTATTGGATAAATTTGAATCGAGGTGCTCCCATGAGGGTTGGTAAATTTTATATATTCCGCCGGTTTTGCCCGATGCATTTCTTTTGTAAGTGGAATAGCTGACAAATGATAATAGAAATCCGACGGGCAGAACTGGATATATAAATACCCCCCTCAATCATCGTTCTAGTTACGCCCTAGATCAAGCAGTTCTATTTTCTGCCCATTCTTAATTGCTCATTTTTACCGCAGGTCTATTGTGACATGACAACAGATGGAGGAGGATTTGCGCTGATTGGTAAACTCAACAGTTCTGTAACATGGAAAGTTCCATCAAAAAACACAACAGTTGATCCATTTGGTGAATCTCAGTGGTCCAGTGATCTCGGTGACGCTCAAGTTCTTGATTTCAGAATACAAATATCAACCACGGAAAACTTAGCTAATGCGAATGCTCACTGGTAATAATAGATTAAATTTATTGTCTGTTGAAAATCTAATATCAAATCTCCAAACTGCTTTGAGTCACATACAACCACGGTACATCAAGACTGAAAACACCCTCATAAGAAATCTGTCAATCTAAGATCAAATTATTCCATCGCTTGAGTCTTCAATATTCCAGTAACTGAATATTTATGCACTCAAACCATCTTTCTAAACCAAAACATCTTCCTAAAAATTTTTCCTTACATTGGCAGGTCCTACAGACTGCGAAATACACGTCCTCTTAAAAATATCATGATTGTTAATCAGGGGGGTTGTGGAGCAACATCACCAGGCATTGGTGACATCGCTTATATCAAAGATCTCCGGACTGAGAAAATTGTCGCGACAAAATTTCGCTGCTCACAGTTTGGAACACATCAACACTTTTTTCTAAAAATTGGATGGGTTAGTATTTAACGTTGTTGTTCATTGTCCTGTTTAGAATTTTAGTGATAGTTCAACGAGCATTTTTCATTTGCTTCGCTCCTGAAATACACAAATCAAATACATTTTCATTTATTTTCAGGCAATGATGAACGAATGCTTCGAAAAACAATGTCCCCAAGGTTTTGCTTTTCACCCAAAGTTTCCAATTCAAACTGACTCGTCAGGGTCTTTCAGGTATAACTTGGCAACGACATTTGGATGCACTAACCGTATCTTATTTCCATACGGGTCCCTGTTTTCGATCAAGGAGGCAAAAGGGGATGCTGATTTGGAATTAATTTTAACAACTATACCATGTCAAAAGGAAAATTGCACTTCTTACTCAACGGTTCTAAAACATTTTTGTTAAATTATCGGAATGATGTATTCCGGATATATTGCTTTTAAAAAAACTTGTTATGAAGGATTTTTTTTATCATAACATTATTTACAAATTCGAAATAGCAACTGTAGTCAATAACGGTTTTCAGTGTCTTCATAGAATAGGATAGATTGTGCAGCGGAAATGTTTACTAAAGTTGAAATCCCATGATGCACGAAACAACCAACAAATATTTTTTTGACGATTTCTGTATATTACAGCTACAGTGTGGTGAGCGAAACATCTGGAATCAGTCGTAATTCAACTGCATTTATCGGCTGTGATAAAGGAGTGGTAGGTCAACTGTTATCCTTCCACACTTTGTAGATTTTAAATTCTCTGAACCATGCATATATCCTGCATACGTTAGCATTTTTAAACAAGGCTTCGAACTTTGCGGAGCCGTAAGATCCCAATCTTTGGCTTTGATGGCTGATAGGCGTATATAAACCATAAACCGAGACTTCTAGTTATGATAAAGTGTTGAGTTAATGTATGCACAATCCAAGGTGTCAATCTGAATTTTAGTGCTGCAGTTGTTTTAGTCCACCAGATAGCATAGACGATCTCTGTGGCACCGATTGTAAGGCAAAACCTGGCGCAACTTTGATAAAGAATGTTTATTCATGGTTCTGGGTGAGGACATCTTCTCCAAAAAAAGTTTGGAACAAATGCATGGATTATAAAGTTTCTGAAACTAACGGAGACGAGGTCTGGTACAAGTTGGTTGGTCAAAACGTTGTCCCTAAGAGAGTAAGTCAGCACGAACATTGCTTGCTTGTCCGTGGCAGAGATAACTGACTTATAATTATATTCATTGCAATTAGAATGTGTATTTTTGGAGGCACTTAAATGTGGGCGTTGCAAGTGATTATGTATTACTTCCTTTTAGGGTCGTTGTTCCACAAACGAGCCGCTTTTAAATGACGGAGTAAGTAATAACATGATATAATAGTAATAATTCCATGCTCTGGTCCATTCCGATCTAATTTTAAATCATCAAATACATATTGTTGTGCTTTCTATTGTACTTTACTTTCCTCTTATAAAAGAATTTTTGAATATTCCATTTTTGTGTCAGATTATAGTTGTTCCTGATAATGGAAGTGTTAGTAAAATTCCAGCCGTCTCAGGAATATTAAAATTTCGAAAAGACAATCAAAAACTTTATGTAAGATCAAATGAAAGGTGGAATGCGATTGCAGAAGAGAAAAAGGTAGTCGTAATAATTTATAATTTATAACCTCAAGCACGTGCGAAGCACCGCGCGAGGGTACTAATTCCGCTCGGAGATTACGAATTACACCCGGGTATTGTGACAGAACATAGCGGAATCCAAAGTTGTCCAAATACTATGTCGTGGCCGTTGGATGGTATTGTTAGTTATGCGCATGCGCGAAATTTGAATGGGAAAACACTTTACAAAATAAAATAATCAAAATTATTTATTTTTGAGCAATACCTATGAGCGATGAAAGAGAGAACGATATATAATCGATAAGCCTCCAAGTGTTTTAAACAATTAAGTGTCTTTGTTTATTCCGTATTTGCTGTCATTAAAATGTACAGTTTACAGTTATAGTATATGAGCTTGGTATGTCATTTTGCAAAGACATAACCGATCAACTTGAGAAGTCAGCTGCAAAACTCCAATATATTCGCTGCATAAATATTCGAAGAATAAGTACTAATATTATACCTGAAATTCAAATTGGCCAATCAAAAAACATTATTTCTACCATGTGACGAGGAGATTTTTCGTGGTATCGCATCCCAGCCCCCTATTTCCGAGCTATATAGGCGTGTGACATTAAATTCATCACACTGTGATATTAGATTGGTCCTACGCGACGTCTCGCGAGGACTAACCTGCACTCAAAAAATCACCTTAATTGATATGAATCAAATTCACTTTTGTCGTTTATAGCTTAACTCCGCCATTGCCACTCAAGTCAATGCTGCCGTCGCTAAACTTACATCACGTTTGGATAAGTTGAATCGGACAATGGAAATAAGAGGTTTTAACGACTAAATGTTATAACGTGACCTTAAACACAAATGCAACGATGCTATGGTGCATCCTCCAACTAAAACTCAGCAGATCTTTTTCTAATTTTGACAGCGAGGTCGAGTTGCGCTAGTTTGTATCGAACCGGAGCAAGAATCGACGGAGTCTACACAATAGATCCCGATGGTAAAGGTTCGTTTCAAGTCAGGTGTGATATGAGCACAGACGGGGGTGGCTGGACCGTGTTTCAAAGAAGACAAGATGGAAGTCAAGATTTCTACCTTGGATGGTCAGACTATAAAACAGGCTTTGGTGATCTTTACGGCGAGTTCTGGTTGGGCCTTGATAAAATACATCGTTTGTCCAATGGTCAAAATGTTCTAAGAGTTGATTTGATGGATTTCAATGGCGCTGAACGTTACGCTAAATATGGAACGTTTAGTGTGGCTGATGAATCAGACAAATACAGATTGAATATTGGCAGTTATTCAGGTAAATCAAACCCTCAGATAGATTTTGACATTTTCATTTATTCGTACATAATAGCAGCAATTACACGAATCACGCTAATTTCAACAAAAATAAGTAAGTAAGAACTATAAATCACGCAGTTTACATAACGCATAGGGAGATTTTAAACATCATATTTCATGGTTGTACGCTGGTTTTCACAGCTAATAACACCACCACTAGTTTTTGCATTGACCATATTAATTTTATGCCTTTTAATTATTTTTAATCATTCGTTTTAATTATTTTTGTGATCAAAAAATGAGCAGGTATAATCAAGCGATTCATAAAAATTTATTATCTTGCATTCTATACCATAAGATCAATAAGTCTCTGTGGTACTTTTGGGGCACAATGCGAGATTATTACACAATCATTTTGTGATTACGATTTGTTAAAGTTGAACATTTTATACTTCTTAATAAAACGAAGGATAACTAAGAATGGCTTAAAAATATTCTCTATTTCGTATGAATATGTCTAGCAATTTCACAAAACGCTTTGAGCACTAAAAACAGCATGGCCAGAAAATTGACCGAGTGGTTGACAAAATTACAGACCTTCAAGATGATTTAGAGTTCCAACGATTGACAAATGCAGCAGGTTTTCATACGCGTGAATAAACGCAATCCAATCAATACCGTGCAGATTAGCCGTTTAGAGATAGAGTAAACCAAACTGGTAAAATTGCAGGAAAGGCAGGCAATTTTGGTTTGCCTCGTCGAATTGAACCTACGTCGATGCGATTTAACAATAATGTCTCACCGCTACTACCCTACTTTGCATTTCATCATGCAAGATTTAAAAAAATAATATTACCTTTTGGATTATTTTTTTTTTCCATTGAGGAGTTTTATTGTATTTCTTAAAAGGTAACGCAGGTGATCCTCTTGATTATCACAATCAAATGCGGTTCACTACCAAGGATCGTGACAATGATGCTGGTAGTGATAATTGTGCAACGAGCTACAAAGGAGCTTGGTGGTACAACTATTGTCATATTTCTAACCTCAATGGCCTGTACCTGACTGCATTTCAGAATAGTGCCACCGGAATAAGATGGAACACCTGGCACTATGATTCTATGAAAAAGACAGAGATGAAAATTCGTCCAAACCAGTTCTAAGAAAAGGACCGGCTTTAGCAGGGACATAAACATTTGCCAAATACATACAGTGTGTTGATTTTTTTAATTGTAAACAGAATAATGCATGGAAATCAATCTGTGATTGTTTACTATCATTCTAGTCGCAAAAAATACTCTATTGGTATATAATAACGGTACTAGAAATACATGCATGCAGCAACCCCTCGCCATTTTAAACGAAGCAAAATATTTCGTGCGCTACCCAGACCTAACTTTCTACGCTAATATTATAAAATAACTCGTGCAAATTTTTCGGAAACAAAGACAGTCGTAAAGGTGAACAGAAATCACCTGTTTGCCTGCTGCATTACGTTGCAGTTTAAGTGAGTGTTAAACTTTTCTATAGCTAAACCTTCAAAACATCAAAACAGCACAAATAATTATAATAACTATACAAGCTCTAAACGTCGAATGTTGTTTTTCGATTATTTATTTTATTCAATGATTTTAGCAACTACATAAGCTGCAAAGTGATATTTGTTTTATCAAAACTCTGAAGTACACTTTTGAGAACTCTTTTAAAAGTTTAAGCGATTGATGTAAAGCCCTAAACGGTCGGTTAGCTCCTGGTAAAACGACATACCAAGCTCGTACTTGTCAAAATAACAATGCATTCTTACAGCAAACACTGAATAAACAAAATATAGACACCTACCACTTCAAAGATTTTAAACTACGAGTCGTTCCTATTTCACCAACTGTTTCTGTGCGGTGATGATCTTTAAATCTTTCATTATTGTTTTAATATTTGACTCCATGATTTCATTTTATATTTTTAAAAAATAGTTTGCAAAATGACGGTTAAAATGCTGACGCTATCATGCATGCTCTCTTCTTGTCTTAGCCAATCAGCAAGTTGTCGACGACCGTTCTTTCTTCGTTCAAATTTCGCGCATGCGCACAACTACCATGACCATTGAACGTCCATGACATTTGGGCAACTTTGGATTCCGCTATGTTCTCCCGGATCCCGGGTGTAATTCCTAATCTCCGGGCGGAATTAGTACCCTCGCACGGTGTTCCGCACCGGCTCAGGGATAATAAAGGCCGATCTACACGATGCGATTAGTCGCATACGATTCGTATGCTAGCGTATGTATTCGAATACATGTTTGTAAAGATGTCACATTTCAAATTTCGTTATAAACTGATGAACAGACAGAGTCACGTCACCAATGTTTTTCATACGTCCGGGTAAGAATCGTATAGGACAAATCGCATCGTGTAGATCGGCCTTAACAGACCTAAGTCATTGATAGTTACAAAGTATATAAAAATTCACGCTTGTTTACATTAACTCGGTTATCCGATGTTCAAAGAATTGTAAAATAACTTTGAGGTATTAAAAGTAGTCTTTATAAAACCTGTTTAAACATGTTTAAAAAAATAACCTTGATTTTACTGATAATCAAAATTGCACGTATCTCTTCAAAGAAATGTTCTTCAGGGATTTTTATTACTATTAGGAAAGGTACTACCTCGGTTGCTTTTTTTACTTAAAACGAATCGGGTTCCTAGTGTTGAAGAACTTTTTCCTTTGAAAATTTCCTTTCTCTAACCTATTTTGCTACTTTTAGGAGGTCCGTCTTTACCTCCAAAAGAAATCATATCAAATCATACCGTCAACTTTAGAACTCAACCGATAGAATTTTACAAGCTTTGCCAAAATGAACCGAAATGTGTTGGATTCAACTACAGAGACAAGATCAATGTTGTGAACTGTCAACTGACTAACATCACTGGAAAGGGAAATCACGTTGAAACAACGGAAGAAGGGGAATGGATACTAATGAACGATAATAAAGCGGTATGTAAAAGATATTTTAGATTTCCAAAATTACTGTTTGTTTATAAAAGTTTGTGTGCATTTCCAAAGGTCTCTTTACACAATCCTATTTTGTTGGATCCAATTTCCTTTCTGATGGATGTTTTTATAGTCCGTTAATTTTCTTGTATGTGGGCAGGAAATGCACTGAAGCTAAAGCAGTTCTGCTTTATCAATTACCTGCTATATTGCATACGTCAGAGGTTAATTGGATACAACAAAATTGGATCGTTTGAAGAGACGCTAAAATCAATCTCTTTCAGGAAAGAAGCGAGGACGAGAAGAGGAAAAATGACACTTCAGGTATTCTCAAGGAATTGACAATTGAAGTAAAACTTTCTCTCACTTCCCTCCCTTAGTCTCTTACACACGCATTATCATACGTTATTATTTATTTAAAACTAATTCACAGCCTTTTAATCCCTAACAGCCCATGCATGTGTGGAACTGCCATTTCTAACGAACGACGTCATAGCGTCAAATAAGCGATGCTTTCCGCTGTCGCGTTCTCTCTACATTCGTACACACACGTAAAACTTAAAATCATTTTTAAACGATACTTATGAAATCAACGATTGAATCTATAAATGCATTGCGTTGGATTCTGTTGAAGATTTGATGTGTTTTTTCTGCAATAAAAATAATTATATAACAACTTAGACGTTTCTTTTTATTCCAATGAATGTGCACTCTTACGTTTATAGAATATGCTGAAGTACACTGCTGCTCAGTTTGCCTAAGAATTTTCTATTCATATACATGCAAATTTAACTCTCTCTAAAGACTGGGACGACAGTCAAATAGTTTCAATTGCCAACAACGTCAGTTTTCAGGAAGGTATCGCACATCGATCTTATTCTTTGATATTTTCACAATTCTTTAGCTAGAAGCTGCGCCCATCTGTACGGATTAGGAGTGAGGAAAGATGGTGTTTATACCATCAATCCTGATGGCTTGGGATCGTTTCAAGTCAGATGTGATATGAGCACAGACGGTGGAGGCTGGACCGTGTTTCAAAGAAGACAAGCTGGAAATCAAGATTTCTACCTTGGATGGTCAGACTATAAAGCAGGCTTTGGTGATCTTGACGGCGAGTTCTGGTTGGGCCTTGATAAAATACATCGTTTGTCCAAATCTGGTCAAAATGTTCTGCGAGTTGATTTGATGGATTTCAATGGCGCTGAACGTCACGCTAAATATGGAACGTTTAGTGTGGCTGATGAATCAGACAAATACAGATTGAATATTGACAGTTATTCAGGTAAATCAAACCTTGGGATAGATTTTGACATCTTTATTTAATCGTACATAATAGCAGGTATGCAGTGATTACACGAATCACGCTAATTTCAACAAAAATATTTGTTTATATCAAGTCATTTAAGAACTATATATCACGCAGTTTATATAACGCATAGGAAGATTTTAAACATCATATTTCATGGTTGTACGCTGGTTTTGACAGCTAATAACACCACCACTAAATTTTGCATTGACCATATTAATTTTTATGCATTTTAATTATTTTTTTAATAATTCGTTTTTTTATTATTTTCGCGTGGCCAAAAAACGAGCAGGTAATCAAGCGATTCGTAATAATCAATTATCTTACATTCTATACCATAAGATAAATAAGTCTCTGTGGTTCTTTTGGGGCACAATGCATGATTATTACACATTTTGTCATTACGATTTGTTAAAGTTGAACTTTATATTTGTTAATGAAACGAAGGATAAGTCTAGCAATTGGACAAAACGCTTTGACCACTAAAAAGAGCATGGTCAGAAAATTGACCGAGCGGTTGATAAAATTACAGACCTTCAAGATGATTTAGAGCGCCCCAGATTGACAAATACAGCAGGTTTTCATACGCGGTAATGACCGCTATCTAATCGATACCATGCAGATTAGCCGTTTAGAGATGGACTAAACCAAACTGGTAAAATTGCAGGATAGGCAGGCAATTTTGGTTTGCCTCGTCGAATTGAAAAAATAATATTAACTTTTGGTTTAAATTTTTTTCTATTGAGGAGCTTATTGTATTTCTTAAAAGGTGACGCAGGTGATTCTCTGGCTTATCACAATCAAATGCAGTTCTCTACAAAGGATAGTAAAAATGATGCTAGTAGTTATAATTGTGCTACGAGGTGGAATGGAGCTTGGTGGTACAAAAGCTGTCATCGTTCCAACCTCAATGGCCTGTATCTGGGTGTAGGTCAGAATGATCGAAGGGGAATAAGATGGTTCCATTGGCACTATTATTCTATGAAAAAGACAGATGAAAATTCGTCCAAGCCAGTTCTAAGAAAAGGACGAGCTTTAGCAGTGATATAAACATCTGCCATGCAAGAACATTTTTTAATTGTAAACAGAAAAATGCATGCAAATCAATTTGTGATTGTTTACTATCATTCTAGTCGCAAAAAATACTCTATTGGTATAATAAATGTATAATAACTGACCTAGGTCCTAGTGATAGTTCTTAAGGATGCAAAATGTCAGATGTGTTTACATTAACTCGGTTATCCGATATTAAAATAATTGTAAAATAACTTTGAGTAAGTAGTCTTAATGAAACCAAGTTGCAAGAACATCCTAATTTCGGGATGTTTAAGCCTGCCAGAGATCATGTTGTTTACTTATTTGAATACTTCAAAGTCATTTCACGCCTGGTTTAATCTCGAGTATCCGAGATCATAAAACCCAACCAAATGAATAGGTTTGAAACTTTTGACTAAAATACAGTTTTGTAGTACCTGAACCATCAAAAGATGTGGTTGAAAAACAAGTCGGAAATCGTTCTCACAGTAAAAAATGTTACCAGGCAGCTACAAAATCAAAGGGGCTGCTTACAATAAGCTCAGTTAACCGGGATTCAAAGAAGCGAATGATGATTTTGAGGTATTGAAATAAGTATACAAACCAGATCCTGTGATGCAATCATCTTGACAATAGCTTGCACTTGTTTGATTTAATATAGACTTATTTCAATAGCTTAAAATCATCTTACGCTTTGCTAACCAGACACTTGTAAACAGGCCCTCAGTAACGTATTTCAAAACATCAATTGATGAATATTATGATTATAGGCTATAGCGAGACGATTCACTCCCGCGAGGAGTCTTTGTAAAACAATAAATATTTTAGATAGTTTTTAACCTTTTTATTATGCTAATATTATAGCTGTGGTTATAACATTGTAATTGTAATAATTGTAATTGTAAAAATTGTAAAATACATGGGCAGCTCAAAAACTGAATTGCGTATTTACAAGCTAATCTAAAATGAAAACACATTGACAGACACTGCAAACAATCTATATATAATTATTTAAAAATCTATATTTAAAAGTTCCCGTTAACTATTAA